ACTCTTAATGACCAGCAAAATCAAAGGAGCAATGCCAGTCTTATTTGTGAACTTGGGAATCCTTTAAAGAAAGACTCAGAGGTTATAAATTATTCCTTTCACATTTCATATTAGTTATCTTTCTTTTAGCATGTCTTTTAGCATGTCTAGGCCTTGAATCATTAGAAATTTCTTACGTTTGTCTTATAGCAGTCCTGTGAAAGTTAAAATTACTTCCGCTCTACTTTTCATCTGTTCACATTTCACATTTTTATGCAATTTTTCTGTTTCTGAGTATCTTACAATGATTAATTATGCAGGGTTAAAAAACAGATTTTACTGCTTACAAAATTATTTTTTGCAACATAAAAAATATATAATGCATCACTATATAAGAAAGTATGAAAGTTTATTATGACGAAATTTTAAATTTACTATGCGGAAGTTTTTTGACATATATTTATCAAAATTATTAATTCAAAATTTTATGGCTCTAAGTACCGTTGTTTTATCACAGTGCGAGAAACATACTACATTTATAGAGATTTTTCATTTTTTTTCTTTAACTATAACCGGGCAAATATTTGGTGACAATATCTGAAAGTGCATGTGCTTTAAGTTTCGACGCAAATGCCAAAACTAAATTAAGAGCTCTGGCTACGACCTTCGCGCTAAAAAGTTAAAGGTAAAAAGTATTATATAACAGACAAAAATACAAAGGAATAAGAGGCACCTCCTATTTTTTTTTTTTATCACCAAGTTAGTAAATTCGGGCGTGTTATTGTGTCTTAATCACCAAGTATTTAAGCATTTATATAACTAAGGACCATTGTTTAATCCGCTTGAGAAATCACTCCCTGCCTGAGCCAGTTCTAGCGCGGTTCACATCACTGTCCAGAGGACCTATTCAGATTAAATGTTCCTTAAATTCGAAAGAAATCGTCACTGGGGGCTAACCGGCTAATGGTGGGAGGTACTCAGCTCCCACTTAACTTTGCCGCATTCTTAGTTTGTGACAATATGGGCCAATTGCCATCGGAGGAACACCATACTCAATATGCCAGGGCGCTTGCTGGATATGACACAAACTGTATAAGTGGCCAATATCAACAGAGTATGGCCATCCTCAGTACTCGATCAAGACAACGACCACTGCACTTCCAGGAAACACTTTTTAAACTCTTGCCTTTCATTTCTGACTCATCTGCGACTTGCCTTACTTACCCGCACAACTTGCTAGACAACTAGGACTCTGCCACCCTTTGAATAAAGTATTTCCTCCATTCTTTCAAATGCTGATGCGTAACTTTGTTTTGGATCATAATGATCCCGTTATGTATACATTTGATGAACTTGCAACAAACTGGGGGTGGTGATGTCGTGAGAAGCGTTCTCGATAATGCGTGCCGGCTTGCGATTACTTCAGCTTCCATACAAAGTCTATGTCCGCAACTCTAGTTCGTACTGCGTACCATACTTCATATGGTACCCAAGCCGAATAGTAATCCTCACTTCCACTAGACTCTCCTGTAACGCATCCCTGACAGCGTAAAATGACATTTTGAGCATGGGTTCTATATCTTATCCTTAAGATTGTTACCTCCCCCGAAGTTTGTCGTAACATTTACAAGATCCTGTAGATTGATTATTTGAAAATGTGTGTTCAACGTGCTTGAGGCCGATCCTCCACCCCTTTCGTCTTCCGGGTTCAGTTACTCCTCGAAGACTCCCAGCATAGGTGCTCAATCAAAAAACCCCGGTGTGTTGAACATGTCCGGCAAATAATGGTCGTCGGTGTCGGGATTTTTGGCGTCTGATGGTCAAACTTCGAGCACTGTTGTAACTTGAGCTGTATACCCATTGTTTAGTCCAATAAATGTTTCAATTAATCATCCTTGATTCCTTCATCTTCTACCTGCTATCACTAACCCCGCCTTTATGACAGGCATGCCTTAATCCTTATGATGTGTCCTACCTCCCCCAGAAGTTTGTCGCAACATTTACGTGACACCCTGTATACTTAATCTAAATGAACATCCTTTCATAGCTTTTATTATGAGGTATTTTAGAAATTGCAGCTGAAATGTCCATGTGAATGAAAAGATTAGAACTGTAAACTACGTCAATATTTTCAACTTGAAATTCAGTCTGAATAGCTACTTAATTCATGGCCTTTATTTGATATTCCAAACAAGTTAGAATAAAATTTCAGCTCCTTTATTAGGCCTTGTTATTTAACTTTTATAAAGTTTTCAGGAATGAAATCGAGTCACCATTTACATTGACTAGAATATACCCCTTTAGATCTTAGAAACCGTTTTGAAATGGCTGTGTTTGATGTCTAGCATTAATTTTTCATGCAACTTTTGAAGATACTGAAGGTTTAAATAACGCTTTTTTCCTCCGCGTGAAACCTTCGCGAGAAAGATTTTTCTATTCAGTTTCACTAAAATGATTTATCTTCTTGTGTACGATATTAAACGTAATTTTCATGAAAGATAACCACTTTGAGGAAAGAAACAACGCCAAGTTTTCTTTGGCTCACCAGCGGCCGAGCGGTAAAGGCGCTGAACGCTTGTAGCTCGACCTGAGTTCGATTCCAGGTAAATGGGCTAGCTGCATGGACATTTTCGTAATTTTCGCCATGTACAACACGAATGCAAGTCGCTTTCTTTTAGAAAGACTAAGAAGGTATCCCTCCACTAAAAATCCACTAAAACTAAGAAGGTTACAACAGTGCTTTGTCATAATAATTACACGTATACAAAAAATAGGTGCTCGTATGTTTAGCACAATTCTTATTCACATATCATTCTGTACAATTCCTATATAATTATTCATTATTTCGTACAATACTAGCTAGCATATCATTACATAATATTTTATGAACAATCTGAGGCAAATGTGATCAATAAGAACAATAGAGATATTTCTAAAACGAAGCATTTAAAAAAACTGTATCCGATGTTAAAATTTCTTAAATGCTTAAGTTACAGAACTGATACGATTTACATATAATAATGCATGCATTCAGTTTTTCATCTTTTTTTTAAACGCCTACCTGACATCATGCGAATTTCCTAACTTCACATTCGTATCACAACTAGGGAAGTGATTTCTGAAATGGACCTATGGTCTTCAACTGCGAAATTCGCATAGGTGTAATGCTAAAAGGAACGTGTGAGAGGTCTTCAATAATAAGTGTTATGTTTACATTGTCATGTAACCATTGAATTGAAGTGTTTGAATTAATTTAGTTAGTTAATTTAATTAATTTAGTTAATTTAATTAAGTGTTTAATTGAAGTGTTTGAATAGATTTTGGGTTTTCACACATTTTTGTATTGCAACGAATAGGAATTTGCAAACAAATAAAACATGCTTTTTTTTTTCTGAGATCCTGATTATTCATTAAATGTGGCCTTTAAGCTGATTTAATTACATTTGTGATAAAATCACTGGGCATCCCCCATTTGTAGTTAATGCCTGCTGTAAATGAATATCATTACCATATTTGGGGTGAACATATCATATACTCAGCCCCCCTTCCTGTCAAGAAATAATACTTATAATTTCTTTTTCTTGTAGAGTGGGCTCTGGCATATGCTTACATGCATAATTTTACACGTGAAGCCGTTTTTATATTCAGAACAGTACATTTTAAAAATGTAGCCAAGCTGTTTAGAATTAAATAAATGTGTAGAAGTCTTCATTGCATTCAAAGTAGTTTCACAGCCTTTTTATTTTAGGTTGCTTTCCTTAGAAATTAAAATTCTGGCTAACTGATTTCTTAAGGACTTTTGCAATAAAGTATAATGAGCCTAAATATTTAACTCCGAAAACTAAATGGTAGTGTTATAATTCATGCCATTTGATGAAAATAATGATACAGAAAATTTACTGTTCTAATGTTATATTTTAAGTTGCAAAATTCGATAACATTTTTAATATATTAAGTTAGAAGGTTTTTGAACATCCTTATTGAGATCGTTTGTATAAACAGGATCCTTATTGAGATCATATATGTAATATTTTATTCTGTAAATAATATATTTAATCTGTTTGTTAGAACTTGTAGGCTGGAAGATGAACTTGACGGTTTTATATGAAGTTTTATTTTTCATTTTAATTGTCTAATGTAATTGTATAATTTATTTGAATATAATTTGATGTGTTGTATTTATTTTCTTCTAGGTGAAGATACAAATAAAGCTTGATGTTTCAAAAATTCCTACGGATAAAAAGAAAATTGATATATTTCTTGAAGCCAACACAGCAAGTACTGAAATTGAGCCAGTGGATAACACTTTAAATATTCCTATACATTTTAAAGCTATAGCAGATATAAGTATAACTGGGTAAATATGGTATTTTTCGAATTATCATTTCGGTGTGATTTTTTAAATAGATTAAGTCGTAAAAATTTTGAAATGTCTTTTCCTAAATTTTAGTACTCCATCTCATGAGCAGATCCCTTACGTTGAGGAAATAGATACAGTATCCATAAGTCACACATATTTTGTAAGTATTTATTATCTGCTATTCCACTTCTCTAGCTCTGTCTCCTGTACTATTGTTAAAATTAAGCAGCCTAAACAAATGCTTATGCTGTCAATGTACCTCATACGTTAACCAGGTTCTTGGAATATGAATATCTGACGTCCAAAATCATTTTTCTGTGTATGTTTATAACTACTGCTTATAAAATATGTAGCTTTCCACTGAAATTTCTGCATTTAAAATTATATATAAACTGTAAGAATGAAAAGTTATACTTTATTTGCATGTGATGCTGCTAAATATTAAAACAATACATGGTACACCAAACTCAGTACCTGGTATGATTTTTCTTTTATGTTGTAGAGCCCACCAGCGGCTGAGCGGTAAAGTCGCTGAACACTGGTAGTTCCGTCCGAATCCGTTCGAATCCTGCGAACAGGCTGGCTGCATGGGCGTTTTCGTGGTTTTCCCCATGTGTAACGTGTATACGAGCCAGTTCCCTTTAGAAAGTCCTCCACGAAGGCATCCCTCCTCTTAGGCAGATAACCCTCGAGGCTTTGCCACACACACACACACACACACACACACACACACACACATCTTTTATGTTGTAAAACGTTCTAAATTGTTTTCACCTATTATGCTACCACTGGAAAGTGCTTAGGGCAATAGTTCTATATCCATAGAAAACTGATACTTATAGGTTATTGATGTATAAAATTTTGACTGTTTCCAGTAGTGCATATTATCCATATGCCAACATACAAGTTAATTCATTTTCATATTGTCATTAATAGGAAAATGAATTAACTCGTATGCATGTAACATCAATTCAATAGGATGACCCACTTTTGCTGATCTTATTGAATAACTACCTAGTTATTCAATAAGATGACCCACTTATAGCTTTGCTGCTACATGACAGCACTTCAGCACTGCCCCAAGCATATTTAAGTTCCATGTTAAATATACTTGGGGCAATACTACTCATGATAAATACATCAAATTGCTATCTGTTTCTAGTCCTCTCGCCACAACTTTACTACTATTTAACGTGATTATTTTAAGCTCATTGTACTTAAGTTTATATATCTGTTGCTTTTTCATTATCAAGAATAAATTTAAAGAATATTGTCAGATCATTTACCTTAAACTTCCACCTCCAGAAGTTTTGAAAAGAGCAACCCTATGCCTTTTAGCTGTCAGATGCCTCCCTTAATTCTATAAATTCTGAAGCTTGGTGCTATTGCACCAGCTCTAGCGACGGCCTAGAGAAAGAATATTATCTTCGTCTTTCTTGCCTTAAATGTAGACATTTCAGATGTAGATGTAATAAAAATTTCCTTTTGTTCTTGAAATTTCGAATTAGTATCGTTGAATTTCGTGAATAGGTATATTCAATAAGCTAGTGTCACAAGAAATAAAAGTCGGAAACGATTTACAAATATAGCATAATGGTATATAAGAAAATTATCAAAATAGATTTCTTATGTTCAACAAATTTAATAAAATCGTAGAAAAGTTCTTAAAATCAGTAATAACAGTTAAGCTTCTATAACCATAGAGCTTCTATTCAAAGCAGTAGTCATGAAATTATAAATTTAATATTATGTAAAATTATTACATTCTAATGTACGTTTATAATACTAGTTTAATAATGCTTTTCACCTTCCTACGTAAGGCTAATTTGAGGTATAACATTCTATTGAATACATCTGACATCTCCAACGGGATGGTATTGCTCACTTTGAGAAAAGAACAGCGGAAGGTTTTTAAACTTCCGCTGTTCTAGAGTTGCAGCGTTTCTCAAAGTGAATACTCCTTTGCTGCTCCATGACAGCTATGATGAACTCATCATAGACGAAATTATGACAGTACTCATATTTGTGCCTTATAGCATCTAGCAAAGGAGAAATGAAAGTGATATTTGTAAGTGGGCTTTGAAAAAGCATAAAGAGGAAGTTTTACTCACCCTTTCGAAGTACTGTGTTGATTAAAGAATTTGTATGTGTGGGTAACTTTTATGCAATATTTATTGCTTATTGCAAGCAGAGGAATTCTAAGTAACTAAAATTTAACTCGCGATACAGGTTACTACTTTTCCATGTATATTTTTTGCCATTTACAATAAATATTTTCATATTAAACGAGATATATGCATATTGGCTTTCGTTTACCTACTTTTTTTATCATATGTTTTAAGTGCAATCCTCATGTCTTCCCGAACTAAAAAAAAATAATTCTGGAAAAGCTGTGGCTGCAAATTTCCACCTGCTGCACTATGTTTCCAAGATCAAAATTTTAGCGCCTTCAGTTAGCTACTAGAGGGATTATACGTATATTAGTCAGCGACGGGTTCAACGCATGGGCTTATGCGAGTTTCCCCTGTGCCCTTAAGCATTAAAATCGTATTTATAATAGTAATAAAAGCAGCAGACAAATTAATATTAGAAGGAAAAGATTTTATTGCATCCTTATTGATTGCTGACGGCTTCCTGTTACCAATAATGTGAAGTATACAACATTTTCATTTTTCTGACTATTGGTAGATCCCGAATTCTACAGCTATAGAATATTTCAGAAGTTAAAAGGGAGCATAAGTACTTAAGACGAAATCTTATACATAACTGTCATCCCAGTTGAGTTTAGTGCGAGCATGCTTGCGAAATAGATAATTTTCAGTGGAGGTCAGTATTTTAGTAAAAAAGATAAGAAGTCTTTTAACCCATATTAAGATGTAATTGTTAATATTTTTTTCTTATTTACATCAAAATGCTGAAAATGTATTATTATTAATGTGTCTCAAAATTGTTTTAGATTACAAATCATGGACCCAGCCCATTACAGATCATTGATATAATTTTATATATACCAACCTCATTTGAAGGAAAAGGTGGACTTGTCAGTTTCCTCACTTTCACCAGTTTAGAAGTAAGAAAGCTTCCCCATGGTTCTTTTTATACTTAATTCCATAGTTTTTTTTTTTTTTTTTTTTTTTTTTTTTTGAGTAGATCTTTATTCCTTTCTAGAATGTGTTACTTTAAAATAATCAGCTTCAGAACTACAATAAGTCATAAGTTTCCTATATCACAAATTCACTATTTATTCATTTATTTTATATATTGATAATTTCTTTTAGGCAGACAGTGGAAAACCGCTAACTATTCCAGCTAAGTGCAATGATACTTATCTTCAGATCAAGCCAGTTACTCCTCAAACAAAGAAAACACAAGGGGATGTTTTTAGGGAGGATGAATTAATTGCGCAGGAAGGAGAAAATAATGCAAAAATAAATTTTGTAAATAAAACTGAGATGGAGAAAACTGATTCTTCAAGTACTCGTGCAACTTCCCGTTCCAAAAAAAGCATTGAAAGTAAAACGAGTTCAACAAAGAAAAGAAGAGATGTAGTTATTGTAAGTATTTTAAGTGAATAAGGCACAAAGAGTATCTAAGTGTATCTATTATATAAATTACTGAATCTCAAGTATAAATTTGAATAATTATGACGTACTAAATGTTAATAATCTTAGATTTTAGTCGGTTATCATTTTTGCTTTTGTTATTATTGCATAAGTTGTTATTGATTACCATTCTGTTACAAGAATTAAAATGATACTAATGCATTGTTGTTAGGAGTAGGAAAACACAATATTTTCAAAGGAACAGCATGTTTAAAGATAAATTTCTCTGCATATAAGGATGCCGATTTCCGAACTCTTTAATGACAACTGTTGTATGGGGAAAACAAAACAAAACAAAAAAAGATGACTAAGGAAGACATCTTAACCACACATCATTATACGTCAAATGCGTACCTGAATTACTTCTGAAATAATGACATGGTCAGTAGTCTGTTCCAGTGAATAACCATTTCGAAAAAATGTTTCTTCGGTGACTTACTTTATGGTAGCTAAGTCTGCACAATACTGCTTTGCTGTTAGATATAAAAATATTGAGTCTATCTTAATCAAAAGAGAATTTTCTGAAGAAAGTATATGGCATCTGAATAATGAGCACAAATTCTAAAATTAGGAAAATATTAAAAATTTGAAGCGAAATTTGAAGATACAATTTTTTGCTAACTTATATGATAATGTGAAAAGTAATTTTAAGCATATTAAACATTTTTGTTAATTTAGCTAATCTTTTTAGCCTGTAATCTGTTTATTATGTCCGAAATTATATGTAATAGGGCCTGAGGAAATGAACTAATTTTCTGGACAACGGTTTGAAGGAATATGGTAAAAATATGCATAACCTTTGTTACGAGTAGAAACAGGAAATGCACCGAACTGCAAATTATTAAGACTTTATTTATGTCTTAAAAATTGCATTAGAAAGAGTGTTACCATTACAAATAATTTTAGCATGGGTACTTTTGCGTTAAGCTATACTCGCCGACACACCTCCAAAAATACAACTCTGACTCTGATTCCTGCAAACATTCGACAACCAAAGCTGCTTTAGATTCTTATACAATTTTTTATTTGTTTTCGTGTTAATGATCTCTGTCTCATTTTTGGAGATAGGAATGATTATGTATTTTAAATTTAAACTTTAGACCAATTAGAAGAAGCATCTGTATGCGCTACGCAATTTTTAATATACTCTTGGCGGATAATGCTCGTGAAACGTTTATTTGTCTCGTATTTATTTTTACTGCATTTTTACTTCATTTTGCAACTTGTGTTTACTAGACATGCCAGGAAATGAAGCAATTCTTCATTTCTAACCTTACGGTACTTTACCGAAAATTCGCGAGTGTTCTAGTTCTCACACAATAAAACTGTTTACGACGAAGATATACAAAGGAAATCTAATGTCAGCAATACCCAATGAAGTATTAGGACAATAGCTTAGAAACGGTTTGAGAGAAGGCACTAGCTTTCTTATTTAACAAAGTCCGTATAAAGGCAGAGACAGTTGCTGAGAATAACAATCTTATGCAATTGCCAAACAATGAGTCGGAAAGTAATAATAAATAAGTAAAAACCATGTGTTCTCGATCGGCTGATACCGAAAATATATTTCATCACCGAAAGACGCTAATAAATTGTTAGCGGCATATCCGCGGACACCGACTAATCTAAAAGTACGTAATATTGCAGTCGTGCATGGAAATTTCGCATAATATGCTGCAATATAGTGACATGTCAAATGCCAACAATTAATTTCAACACGATATTATTACAGCATACCTTAAACATCATAATTGTAATGTTCTTCAAAGTTCCCCGACAGTTTTACTTTTCTGGTTTTGATGGTTTTACCAACTGACTCTACTTTCCTTTCCATAGGTCACTCATTAAGTGTATGCGACCGAACTTTTCTACATCCAAGAGATTAAATTAATTGTTATATATGTAGAATTTACTTTCAAAACACACACGGTGAGCACGTCTATTGCATTATTAAATGCTTTATTTTACTAATAAGAAATAGATAAAAGTAATAAAAGGTAAGTTAAGTAAAAATTAATATTGCAGGTGATGTCATGATAGTTATACTCAGTCCACACAGGATTCATGTAATGATGAACATTTCTCATACACTCGTAACAACCACAGCTATCTTTAGAAAATATGATCGGCTTGGCTACAAGGAACTTAAACATCGAAGGAAACCGTCTGTTTCCACCAACTCTTGGAGGATTTACAAGCCGTCTGCTTGCCTCCGCTCCTCTCCATGTCTGGACGCTATCTAGCGTTGTCTCGACTGCTCCGCACTGTGCTAAGTTGGGATGACGTAACCTCACTAGGTATTCGCTAAGTTAGCATCGGTCGTCGATGATTTCCACATATATGAAATCGGTCAACTGATGTAGCTATATTGCAGAGTATTTTACAAAATTAGCAATTATCATTTGAGAACTGGGTGGAATCCAAGGATCATTCCATCGCCTGGAATGCTCTGAATCAAATTAGTATGGGTTATAAAAAGTTAACCCTCGTAGGCTTTATCATAGTTGAATAATCCAGTCATTACTTCACAGGTCTTGCTTGCACTTCCTCCTCTCCTTCTTTTGATTACTAGCATAACGCTAGCGGATTTCGAATCCATTACTTCACTCATTATTAAAAAAAAAAAAAAAAAAAAAAAAAAAAAAAATGTGAAGAACATCCATGTGTGCTCCTTTTATGTTCTCTAATCACTAACAGCAGGTCTTTTATGTTTTGACTTCTTTCCTTTTCGTTGCCATGAAGATTGCACAGTAAATTAATACACTGCTCGACATTGAAAATGCAACACCAAGAAGGAGTGGTCAGAAAGTGATGAAATTTGGAAAAAAGACAAAGAAAGCAAGTAGCAATAAGTGATCTTTATTTCAAAATGATAATCAAAATACAGAGCGAGAACGGCATCGGCTCAGTAGGATGTAGGTCACCGCGGACAGCGATGCACGAAGAAACACGTCTAGGCATAGAGTCAGTAAGAGTGCGGATGGTGTCCTGAGCGATGGCTCTCCATTCCCTTTCAACCATTTGCCACAGTTCGTCTTCTGAACGAGGCAGGGGCAGAGTCTGCAAACGGCGTCCAATCACATCCCACACATGTTCGATTGGTGACAGGTCAGGAAAGTACGGTGGCCAGGGAAGCATCTGTATACCTTGCAGAGCATGTTGGCGGATGCGAGCACTGTGTGGTCGGGCGTTATCCTGCTAAAAATTCCATTAGACTGCCCCTAAAGGTAGGGGATTGCTACCGGCCGCAGTACATTATCCAAGTATCGTTGGGCCGTCATAGTGCCCTGAATACGAACTAGATTTGACCTGGAATCGTAGACAATAGCGCCCCAAACCATTATGCCACGTTGTCGCGCCGTGGGGCGTTCCACAGTTACTGCCGGATTAGATCTGCCTTCACGTCGACGTCACACACCTATGCGGCGACTGTCACTGAATAAACAGAAGCGTGACTCATCTGAGAACACGACGTTTCGCCATTCTGTCATCCACATCGCTCCAGTCCGGCACCATTCTAAACGTTGGCGTCTACGCAGTGGGGTCAATGGCAATCTTCTTAATGGACGCCGTGAGTGCAGGTCACGTTCAACCAATCGACGGGAAATGGTTCTGGTCAACACGGGAACATCCAGGGTATCTTGCTCATGCTGCAGAATCGCGGCACAAGTGACTTGCGGAACCGCCACAGCTTGTCGGCGGATGCGTCGATCCACGCGTGCTGACGTCACTCTGGCTGCACCTGCACCCCTCCTTCTTCCCATATTTCCTTGTTCCAACCATGTTCGCCATCGCCGACGCACCATGCTCGCATCCATGTGGGTATGAGCTACGATTTGACGTAAGGACCAACCCGCCCTTCTCAGTCCGATCACCACACCCCTGTAAAATCGTCTATCTGCTGGAAGGGCCTTCGTTGACGGCGGCCTGCTTTCCTTCCCTTATATCTTACTTCACGTGCGTCGGAGAGCTGCGCATTTCACATCATTCGCATAACTCAGTGACGTGCTTCGACTCTAAAATTTGCATAAATTTCTGACCACTCCTTCTTGGTGTTGCATTTTCAATGTCGAGCAGTATATATTCTTTGCCTGTCTGATGCGACCAAATTTATGCGATTTAAGTAGTTTTCGTTTAGGAAAATATTCTCTGCTGAGGAAAGGAAATATTGGATTGTTTGATGTTAAGTATCATTAATTCCTCATTATTATGCACTAAAATTCAAAATGTTTTTCTTTTAGAATTGTGAAACTGCACATTGCATGGCCATTCAGTGTTCTGCTTCTCCATTTTCGGACATTAGGAAATTTGCTAGGATCGCAGTTTCAGTACAAGTGAATCTATCGGTACTCAATGAAGTTCTAGTAAGTTTTGATTATTTACAACACGTTTTCACAAAAGAATTTATCAATTTTTATAAATTAAGCTATTTTGATTAGTGAAATTGTGATAGCAACCACTAATGTCTATGAATATATGTGTTCTTTAATTCAGATTTTTGCTTAAAAAATAAGTCCATCGCTTTTCAGTTAAATTTAGAACGTCTTAAAATAATATCAGACTGGTGGTTAGTTCTCTAAATTTGAATGTTGTCATTTTACTCAGTGCTTGTATGATTGAAATGTTTCTGTGTACATTTTCAGCATGTAGCGAGGATTATGAATAAACGAAATATTTTGTACATGTTGCATCCTCAGTAGCAAATAATAAATATTTTTCAAAATAGTTAAAAGCTTGGAGAAATAACATCTTGTAGATCAGAAATAGAGAGATTTTTATTTTCACAGTTCATTGACCAAGGAGTTAAATAAGGCGCATATCCGCCACTTTTTAAGAAGAGAATTTATTTCAGATCCAAAAATTGTGAATATTTTTAAATAAGTTTTTCCTTGTTATTCAAATGATGTATTGTCAAAAAAAAGTCATCGCTGTCATTTAAATGCTAAAAAAAAAAATCTATTGTGTGTATAAGCCTCAAGTGTACGTCTTAACACAAAAGCACTTCCATTGCTTTTGTAATCAATTAAAGTTTGCATTCATTTTCTGGTTTTTGATTATTATGTTTTATATTATATATATTAGTTTAGCTGTAATTTTTCCCGAGGAAAATTAATAATTAAATCTTTTTTAAAGGACCCATGGTACAGAATAGAATTTTTTACCAAAGGTGAAGTTTTTATAAGGGATGATAAAGCTGATGTTCAGCCTAAAAATCACCACCCAGATGTGACAACGGTAAGTTAGGTTTCATGTCTTTATTTATAGTCGTTTCAAATGCGGTCAAGAAGGGAAGAATGACGTTAACTACTACCTTGATGTTAATTACGAAAGGGAAAGTAAACAAGTGTGTTAGAAGTCATTAGAGGAGATACATTGTAAAAGAAAGAGATTTTTAGGTCTCTTTCAGTATCAGCATATAAGGAATAACTTAAGTTTCGTTCAGTATCAGCATATAAGGAATAACATATAAGGAATAATGGAGCTGGAAGTGGGTGGTTTAAAAACAATTAAAGATACTTTTTTGTATATTATCTGATGAAATTTTCCCAAATATTAGAAAATAATTACTTTTATTTATTAATTCTTTTCTTTCATTTTATAATAGTTTATTGCTTATCAGTACAAAAACTGAGGTAATTAAAAATAAGCTTTTTAATAATATAGTACATAAGCATTAATAATAAAGTACTTATAGTTTCTACAAGTTATCAACATCATTAATGTAGTTAATGAAAACCATTTGAAAGCAAAATATGATTTGCATTAGTGAATTATAGTTGAGAATAATAGCCCTCATTGTTCTGAATATTATTGGAATGATTTAAAGATTAACTCTGATAGTATCTTAAGGTGGTTTTGCAGTCAGAAAAACGAAAATATAACTCATTTTGATTCACCATTCTTTACTTTAGAAATGCCGAATATCTGTTTGCCATACACTTGATTTAAATAGGGAGTAAGTGTTTTAATTCAGATGATAATATTAAGCATTGATTAACATTTCCTGTAACTGCTTTCTAATTAAGCTTCCTATGAGCAATCTGCTTAATTTTGGGTCGTAGCCTTTATTTTTAGGCCAGGATATGAGCATAATGTTAATCTACCTTTAAACAATGGAATTTTTTTCAGCCCTCTGGCATGAAATTGCGTAGTAATAATAATCTTAGCATCACTAAGAATCATTTTCGGGATTCTCACATTGATTTTCCCCCAGATATATTAAAAGTTCTAAGTGACGAGCATAAACAATGTGTGTATATATGTATATGTATATATATATATATATTATAAAAGTAGCAAGACAACATGAATAAGAAAGACCTTAGTGGTCAAGAATTTTGCGCATTGAACTGCAATTTTTTTTTTTTTTTTTTTTTTTTTAATTTAGGAATAAGAGGGACGTTTAAAAGCTTATGCTAAAAAGAACATTTGACTCTATAGTTCCTTAGCAAAAATGTAAAATCATTCAATAACGAGAAACAATAATAAAGTAGTAAAAGCAATCTCGTAAAAACTAAATGTTAAAATTACAAGTTGAGATGATTTCAAAATCAAAAAGGGTGAGAAAAAATTAATAAATTTTAACTCACAAATAATTTTAAAAGGACTTTTGTAAAATTTAAACATATTACAAAAATACATGATATGAACAAAAAATTGCAACAAATGGTAAATAGCTCAATTCGAGGTTTGAGACGGATTTTATGAAGGGAAAAGCAGCTCAAAACTCGAATCAAGTTAATACCTATAGCACATTTCGTCAAACGATTATAATTGAGACTATAAACGCATTTTCACTAATAGAAAATTCCAACTTAATGATCTAAAAAAGTTAGGTAAGTCTCCATTATATCGCTTTTTTCCCGACGCTTCGTAATTTAAATTAAAAATGTAAAACTTACTATTTAACAAGAAAAGCTTTACAAGAAAGCTCAGTTATGCAAAGGTGCAATTAAAATAAAATAGCTAAAAGGCTATTTACGAACTGTAATTTATATTGTAAATGTAAAACTTACTATTAAACAAGAAAAAAAGCTATACACGAAAGCCTAGTTAGGCAAATGTACAAATAAAATAGCTTTAAAAGCTATTAGTCTAAAAATTACACAATTTTAAGGGATAACCCTCTAAATTGAAAATTATAAACTTTTTAATGAGAAGAACCAAAAGAAACATAATAAAAACGTATCGAAACGGGTATTGCAAAGACCAAAGAATAAAACAAAATAAGGACGAAATATACTTACGCCGAAAGCCGCTCCCATTGGGGTTAATCTGAGTTAAAGGAGACAACTGACATGGTTGACCCATCTCCAAAACCACTTTTTTTCCCATAAGGCAGCAAGTTGAAAAATCTGAGCTGCAGGCATAGTGGAGCTAGTCGACACATGGAACTGACTCCTTTTTAGCTCAAATAAACCCCAGTAAGAACGACCCTTTAAACATAAAATGATCAAAATAGCTACACAGGGTTACCTTAAAACGCAGCTTTCTATAGGAGTGTTACCAGATAAGCAAAGTAGTTAAATTTCCCCAATACGGTGAAGCTCCGTCGAAGGGGAGGGAAACTGACGAAAAAAAGGCAATAGCCAATAGTAAGCAACGGCCAAAGGGGGAGAAAAACTTGCCTTTTTTGGTTGAGGGTGTCAGAAGGTAAATGATGTAAGCTATTTTTATCAAGATGGCGTCTTGTTCAAAACTTTGTCGTGAATACATGTGAAGCTGAAAAACAAAATGGCTAATTTTTAAGAAAGTGCTAATCTGGCCGAAAGGTGTTGAAATTGGAAAAATGAGCAATTTTTTAATAAAAGGTCGTAATTCTTCGCGCTAGATGGCGGTCAAGCGCCTTGTGAAATGAAAATAGCCCTTAAAATTAATAAAAGTATAGGTATGGCAAAAAAACAGCGATATTAAATAATAAATTTAATATTTTAACTGAGAGTCTGTGCCAATTAAGAGAAAAATGGAGTCAGTAGAAGAAACTATGTTACATTTTTACACTAGATCAATTGAATTAGCCATCCATCAGTTACCTTCCTTTGGGATTTAAGTAAAAATTTCATTATCTTATTCAAATAATCTAAAATAAGATGTAAATGCCAGCTTTTTTTAAGGAATTTTTAATGATAGCTTTGGGAATAAGATTGTTTTTTAAGATTTGAATGAAGTAGAGTATTTCTTCTTGAAGGAGGTCTGCGTTATCACAGATACTTTTGATTCTATGAAGTTGTGCATTAATGGTATTGATAATGACTTTTTTAGAAATGTTAGAAAATCAATTAGTATGTTTAAGTGCATGAAAATTGAAGTCTCTGCGCTTGTCAAATATTTTAATAAGATTGTAATTGAGAATTTGAAGATCTAGGTAAACAATATCATTTTGAATAGCATTAGTGGCTTTAAGTTTGAGGCAAGTAGGGTAAATATTAGCATGTTCTAGTTTGTTAAAGTTGTTAAAGGCAATAACATCATCAATATATGTGTTGGTAATATTTTCGTTCTTCAAGATCAAGTGAAGGTACAAATTTAAATTCTTGTGTAAAAAGGAATAGCCCACAAAATGCAGTTGAGCAGTTTCCGCCCATGGGTATTCCCTGTTCTTGCTTAAAGATTGTGTTATCAAATTGCAAATAATTGTAATAATAAGTACACTTTTGAGGAAAAGTTTCCATTCTTCAAGAGAACTAATCGTGAGAATCTCCGGAAAGAAACTGGGGAGAGTGAAGAGGCTACTATGAATTTCATCTAAAGGTAAAGTAGTATAAAGGTTTTCGAAGTCGTAACATTGAATATGCTCTATTTCAAGTAAATTTAATGTCTCGAGAATTTTTTCGTTGTTATTAATCATCCAGTTGCAGTGTAGATCTTGAAAATCGTAATTATTAACAACATCCAGAGATCCAGAATTAGTTTAAGTTTCTGGGCAATCAGGTTCTTTTAGAAAGCTTTTAGCACTATTAGCAATGAATCTAAATTTGACAGGAGTTTATAAAATTTAGGAAGAGCATAGAGATTTGCAAACTTATTACAGTACAAAGTCCGAAATCCGGACTTGTCGGGACTTCGGCGATTCCGGATTTGGGATTTTTTCCGATATTAGATCATCAGTTTAAATCTAGTAAGATAGCATGTAGAAATTATAAAATTAAAAATATGAAATCGTGATTTATTGAAATAATGAAGTATTTATGAACTAAAGGTATCAAAATTTACTTAAAAAAAAGCTTACTCTTTATTTGTTTATCTTATTAAACATTTCTTTCAATGTAAGTTGTTTAAGTTGCTTCGTTTTTTTGTGATAATACTTTCTTTTTAATTCTGTAGACAGCCATAATCTCTTGTTTAGTTACATTGTTGAAAACTGCTGTTTCGAGAATTCCGACTAACTTGTCAAACAAAATTTTCTCGTTTTCAGTAACTTCTCTAACTTTCTTCACTAACAGAGAAGTATTTTATGGATCTAGAACCATAATACAAATTTCGCCATTCATTAATTGATTGATGATTGAAAAGCATTGTCATCGCAATGAAAAACTTCTTTTATATCATCTTCATTTATTACCGCTTCTCCACATTTCTTTACAAAATCCATTAGTTGGAAAATTTCACCTTTGTTTTGCGATATCCGAAAACCTTTAAAATTAGCGGTTAACATCATCATCAAATTTAGCTAGCCTTCACTATACATATTTGGCTGTGCATCATGAGCTTGGCGACTATAAGTTGTTCCGTTAAATTTTATCTTGCTTCTATCGCGCGGAGACAAGCCTGAATTGTATTAGTTATTTATAATGGTACTTGTGTCTATTTCTTGCACATGCTTAAGGGTTATCAGAGTTCTGAATAAAATTCCCACATATACTTAAGCCTTAATTGAGGGCCGGCGCAAGTTGTCATATTTTGATAAACATGCGGTAATGAAAGAAAAGTATAATAAATAATTATTCGCCAGGTTGGCGTCAGATCAAGTATGTATGCGGAATGTTTCGGTTTGAGATATGTGTCAAGCAGATACGCAGCAACGGAGCTAACTTACTGATCGTACAAATTTATGCTAAAATGATCTTTGCTTCAATAACAAGGTATTTTACTTAGTGTCGAAGTGAAATTAATAATCGGAACTCTCCAGATGTTTTATTATGCGCGGAGGGGGAATCAAATGCGCATGCGTGAAGCCTACGAGAAAAAACGTTGATGGTTTTGAAGTCCGGATTTTTAGATCATTCCTTATAATGGACGTTCGAATTTCGGACTTTGTACTGTATTTAATTTGTTAGGACGAATTTTGAGTCTTATGCAAGGCAGTGGATTTTTTTAAAAGAATTTTAGTGTTTGAAGAAACTTGTTGATAGGCCCTAGTGCTAAGCAACTCTTTTTTGCATAAGCTCAAAATAAATGTTTTTTTCAAATAGTACTGAAATTATTACTCGCCTTGTCTATTTTGGTAATAATGAAACGTTCTTGTAACTTCTTAATTTGAGATTCTAGATTTTTTTTTATCGTGCAGTTGATTAAGGCTTGGCAGATTAAAGAGAATTTGTTCACAAACTTTGCAAATGGCAGCTTTCCATTCTAGAAAGGTAGTAGTCGGTAAGTTAGTTAAATTGCTAGCTAAAATAATAAATTTATTCAAATCATTGCAAAATTGCCTAAAGCAATCGTATTTATTAAGATAGAAAGTGGGACGAAATTTGGTTCCCAATTTCATGAGTTGCCGAAGTTGACAGTCTTGAATGATGTTAAGATCACCTGTAACTATCTGCTTGTGATCCACAAATCTAACTAAGGATCCACAACACTAATGATCCACAAATTTATTGTAATCATGAAGTTGGCAATAACAGATGCTAAAAGCTACTACATCGTGGTGATTAACAATCATACTTCCTAAAGTTTATTCAAACTTAAAACACGGAGTTATTTGGAGCTATTGGTTTGGAAGCAGCTTATACTTTTTGCAGATTTGAGGAATTTGGAGTTGATCATACAATGGGTGCTTAAATTGTATCATAGAGTAAATTTTTTCATGGAAAAAATTGCTTTTCTTTAATTTAAAATTGCAAAAGTCGATGATCAAATCTTTGGCAATATGGAGACCTAGAAAATGTATAACTTTACCAAGTAAATTCCATAAGGTGACATTTTTAAAAGCATGTAATAAGTTAATGGAATTTTTAGAAAGGCCTTCTTTTGAAAGTAGGTAAAAATTTTATTTTAATATTTAAATCTAAACCCTGAGTGGAAAAAAAAAAAAAATATTGCTTGAATTTCCTCCTCTTTTTCCTCTGGAAGTTTTATTACTAAAAAATCTAAATTGACCATAAATAGTCTTCTTCATGTCTGCAACACCACCACCATTATTAAATATGTCGGTGGTGTAACAACCCTAGCCATGACCTGAAGTGCCCTGACATCTGCTTTCTTGACTATGGGCACATTCTATAGCGTTTTTTGGTAGCAAAATTTTTTGTAAAGATGTAGCTAAATGTATAATTTATTAATATAATGCAAACTAGTGACGCTATTTGCAACTAATTTTTTTTTCCACTGAAAACTTTCTCATTCCATCACAAAATTTCACAACTTTCTGTTCACTAGTTTCGCTTGTAGGCAGCTTTGAAATAGATTTCTTTAATTATAGACACCTTGTATGTAACTTAAAAACTTCTAATTAATTCACCTAACAATTTATATTACATAAATGTATTTACGTTAGTGAACATTGTATATTTGAGATTTTATAACTTTTTCCACATTTTGTTCAATTTATATATAGGTATATACATATAGACATATATAATTTAAGAATTCCATATTACCTAATACGTATATAATCAATAATTACATGAATAATATATTTTCAGTATTATAAATTTCATTCTTAAGAATTTGCTGCCGTCTAGTTTACATTATTTTATTCATAAGTCCTGGATCAAAAACAATTAAATGTTTGGTATCAGAATATTAGCAAAAAGCAGCGACTCTCAATGTATTTGTAATTTGAAAAATGGTCCTTAGCCGTGAAAAGGTTGAAAGACATTTTAGTTAAGACTATTTTGTCAGATACTTCGTATACATGTAACATAGCGTTCGAAATGCAAATCCATTATGTAACAAATGTGCCTTACAGTTTATCGTTCACTAATGCATTTTCATACGGAAAAAAAATTTCATTCATTCAAAGAATTAATCCCCCCTTCCTCTCTATAAAACTGAATGCAGAGAAGTTAAGATTTTTAAACGACCCCCTACCCCGAAGCGCGCAGTCTCCCCCTTTTTCCAGCATTCTCCGTGTTTAATGTCGTTTGTAATTTATGATTTGACCGCATCTAATCAGTATTTTATTTTAGTAAAATATTTTATTAGTTTATTAAAATTAAACAAATTTCTATTAGTCGAAAAATATATTTCCTTTTGAAAACTGGATTTATCTTTGCATATCGGAAAATAAATACAGATTTTAAATACTTATTTTTAAATAATGAAATTTCAGGTAAAAACGGTTATTGTTTATCCTGGTCCTCCTCCATCTGAAGAAATTGCACAGTGGATAATCTTTGTTAGTATAGGAGCTGGAATTTTACTACTTATAGTTATTCTTATTCTACTTATTAAAGTAAGTATATTTAAGATTTAGATCAACTGTTCTTGTTTTTTAATGATTTTCTGTACTGACTTAAAGTTTCTCTCATCTCTTAAAAATAACGAAAATTATTCATTTTTTTTACTGATATCTATTTCATTGGAACATTAAAAAGCATTGAAATACACTGTTATTGAAACACAGTATAATTAAATGTGTTATGTTGGATAAATATTTTTGTCATAAATTAATAAAAACAGAGCTTAACTACTGTCTATAAATACATTTTGGAAAGGAAATAAAAATATAAAAATCTATATTGAGAACACGGGAAATGCTTTAGAAGTTTTCCAAAGGCATGGATGAATACACTGTTGAAATTATGGTACTAAAATGTTCTTGTTATTCGTACAGCAAACTAATGTATCTTTCTTCTCCCAACAGTCTACCAGTGCCAAAGTGAATAAAACCACTTAACATTATAATTAATAATGTTCCAGCCCCACAAACGGGCTGGCTGTATAAATGTTTCGCGCTTTTTTTCCATTTGTGTAAGTTGATTATCAGCCTTTTGTTTTAATCATAATCCGGTTTTTTAAGCAGATAGTTTTCCTGTATTTTCCCTTAATCTGTTAACCACCACACCTGACCCAACAGAAAGTGTATTAAATTTCACATCATTTAGAAAAAATATTTCTTGCACAGTAGATAAATAGTGGGACAGTTTCCAAAAAAGTCATAAAATTAACCAATGGATATAAAATCAACAGATTGACATATCAGAGCAGTTTCTACATAAAAATTTAACTGGTAGGGTAAATTTTGAGCAAGAGTTATTAGTGAATTACAGTTCATATTTTTACCCCCCTAGCGGGCCCCATATCGTGCAATAAAACTGCATTTTGTTTCAGCATCTCAATGTAAAAGAACTGTAAATTCTTAAAATTCATGTAAAAAATAAGTTTTTTTTTTAGACTTTTTTCCCTTCCTTTTCGGTTAATTCAGAGCTTTTAAAAATTTTTCATTTTATTAGATCCTGCTTTTTTCTTTCAGTTTGGCTTTTTCAAACGAAAACAGAAAGAAAAGATGCAAGAAATGATGACTCAAGAAGACGGTAAACATTATGAAGCTTATGATGATGAAAGTAATGAAAGAGAAGCTTTAAATTAATCATGGTCATTCGAGTATTTTAAAACTATAATAGCATTTTTGATGCCAAATGCAGTGGACATGAAACTATTCTCAATCCAAAGAGCTTCTTCAAAAGGAAAACAGAATTTAGCTTGTCAAAAAAGAGAAAATTTCATGAATATTTACTGTGAATATTTTTTCAAAGCTGGATATTTTTCCTAGAGTTTTTGTTATTAGCGACTATACATTTCATATCGATTAAAGCGAACTTGTTGATTAAGAAAACAATTTGCATTTCAAATAGAAACATTATCTGGGCAATCTTTATGGTTACAACGTTTTATAAAAACGACAGGTACATTACTTGCACAGAAACCTATTTGCAATACAGTCATTATTTGCATATGAGTATTTTGCTCATTTGTGCTATGTTTGTGATAATTTGATTTGATCTCAGAATTAATGAAAACAATAGGAATGAACTTTTAAATTATTTAAGCAAAATAAGTTTTAAGATTGTGAAATGTGATGACGAGCTTTTTATTGAAAGCTCAAATGTTCCTAGAAATTACTATAAACGTTTTAATATTCTAAAATATGATCATTTTATGTAAATAATCTGAAGTATGAAATGTAACCACAATAATAACGTAAATAATATTGAATGATACTTTAGAGGACAATATTTTCCTCCAAAAGAATAAGATTTTGAAATATAATTTAAATATAGATAGAAAATAGCTAAATTCAAAATGCAATTTTTTATTGATTTTGCAAGTAGTCCTATAACTCTGTGAGATGAAATTTCTTGCAGTTTATTAAATCTGATATTGAGAATGGTTACTTAGCTGTCTTAAGTTAGATACAACCATAATCATTCAGTAATTTTCTTCGCACAAGACTGGTTGCATTGTTTCATTCTTCACAATGTGTAAAATGCGTTCTCATCTGTAATTATTGTATTTATATTTTTTGTTTAAGCATGTCCAGTTAACTGTGTAACAAAAATATGTATATATTTTTACTGAAATGTATCCATGTTCATATTTTATTTATTTTCATATTGTATATATTATCATTTTTATCATTGGAAAATATATATTAAAAATTTTTATAAGTTGGTTATATAGTCAGACTGTAATAATTATTAAATTATACTTAAATGTTATATGGAATATAAGTTATGTGCCAAAATCAAATGAATCATGCTTGGCAATGTAAATTTCTTTAAATTATCTTAAAGTATGCTTTTTTGAATAATTATTTCAGACATAGCTAATTTTAACGATTTGCGCTACGACTAAACTTCACAGTTGCGGTGTAATAAGTATATCTTCATTTTTAAGCAAATACCTTATTTGTTTCAAATACTGTAAAAATTGACATTAATATAATAAAAAATATTTTTGTTCTGTTTCTCTCTAATTAGTCTGAACTGTCTAAAAAATTTATATTTAAAATTGAATAAGAACAACAGTTTTATCTGAGTTGGAATTTTTTATTTATGTACTTATTCTTTTACAGGCTTCAAAAATATTTTCAAATACAAAACATTTTATTAAGCAATCTATCCAGCAATCAATGGCCAATATGGAAATTTTTTTTTCCACAATTACACATATCCTGAAATAACCTCTATTAGAGGGGCTGCTTTGCCATTCAGAAAGCATATTTTAGCTCATCTATATTTTATGTACATTGCTGCTGCATGAATACAAAATTTTTTATGCCAGATTATCTTTTCTGTACTTTTTTTTGTATGTCTGTTTAGCAAGTGACTAAATACTTCAACAGAATATTTTCCATATAACGAATGTTTCAACTTTCCACTTTTAAAACTATAAAATAAAAACCTTGCATAATTTTCCTGCAACTTTTGCATTTTTCATTTCTGAATGCAATAAATGGTTTTATCATCATAGTCTTACAATAAAATATATCTAAATTTCAGGAATGATTTAAAAAAATTCTTATGGATTTCTAAAGTGCATCAAAATTTATAGGTAACAAAGACCATTAAAAATAAGAATTATTTATCAAATATTTTTTCCTGAAGTATATATAAAAGATCCATTTTATCATTAAATTTCTTACAAAAAAACTTCATGCAGACACTGGTGCTCAATCTTTCCAGTTCTGTTAATACAAAGTTATTACAAACATTATATATATCTGCATAAAGGAGCGAAAATTTATAAATTGTTTAACGCATTAATCTAAACTATGAAATGTGATATTTTGCAATTAGGATATGAAAGAGCAGTATAAGTTAAGTCTTAACTCAGAGTCAACTATTATCACTATCTTTATAGATTTGTTTCATCAAAGTTTAAAAAATAACTCTCCACAGACTTTATATGTGAATATTTCAAAAATGAAAAAAAAAATTCCCTCCCTCCTATTTCAGCATACTGTAAAATCCCAGTGCCCGAGTAATGTGGACTGATGTTAACTTCAAACAACTAGAAATTCAGATGCACTGAAGAGCATGACCGTTTCAGAATAAATACTATGGACATAAAAGGTTCTATCAATTTATACGGTACAGTGTCACTTTAAACATCTTTCCAGCTCACTTTCTGTATCCAGAGTTTAAGTTCAGAATTACAGCTAGCATCTTATACTTTCTGAGGCTTTGCAATTCCTGTTACACTGCACCAGAGCTCCAAAATATGATGAGCTTTGGTGCTCCTCTAATTCCTTTATTATTCAGTTAAAAGTAAGAAATTCTGTTAAGAAATAGGTCATTTAGCATTCAGACTGATGCTATTAGCAATTCAGTGCATTTACATCACTTCTTTTATGCCATTATGCTATTAAAATCCTGCAAGCTGAGAACCCATATTTGGAAGGAAATTTAATATGATTGAAATAAGCAGAAGAGATGAAATTAGTTCAAGTCTAAAAATAGAAGATGTAAATCTGACCAATCAAAGGAACCTCAAAACATTTCACACAGAGTTCTAGCAGAGTGTCTGAGGATACACGTTTCTAAAGGTTATTTGAATTGACAAAGCCATAAGGGCTACTTGTCTAAGAGGAAGGAAGCCTTTTTCAGGGCATCTGGCTTGTACTCGAATTACACATGGGGAAATGCACCGTTTGCCTGGGATCAAATTGAACTACCAGCATTCAATGGTCTTAACACCACTCAGCCCCAGAGATACAAGTTTGGATTAAACTGTTACAGGTTTCATATTTAGAGACTTTTTAAATAAAATTATACTTGGCGATCAAAATTAACATTTAAAAATTTTAGAGTGTGATTTTGTTTCTGTAATGCTTATTCAGTATACTATTTTTTTTTTTTTTTTTTTTTTTTATTTATACAGCTAATACTTTATTATACATTTATAATATAACTTGTATTTTTTTTTAAAGTTTCTGACAGCTTTTCAAAGCTGTCAAAACCCGCTTTGAAATCACAAATATTAAGGGATCACAGAAATTGTGTCTGTAATATTTACTTTCCTTTCAGTATTGCCTTATTTGCTAATTCCTATTGAGATCAAACATGCCCTATGTGTTAATTCCTATCGAGATTTGTATTAGATTATTATTAAAACTGTACATTTTGATTGCATAACACAACTGAGTATTATTGTATTTACAATGCAAAATTGTCACACACTGAAGTGGAAAATGAAAAAGCAGCAAAAATAAATCATAAGTGCAATACGTATAATTTTTTAAACATTAAACAAAAATTTTGGAGTTTTCTGTTTCATAACGGTTTTGATATTTAAAAAAAATTCCATGGTTATTTCAGCATCAAAATACTGGTAATTGTAGAATTATCTTTTCTTTTTTTAATATTGAAGAAAAGTATTTGGAGATTTATGTATGAGAAAACAGATTTTGTAGTTTGTTTTCAGCCCCTTTCAATTGCCAATAAATAGGGAAGGAAATGCAATTAAGAATGGATGTCTGAATCAGCCTCATTCCAAAAGTTGCTTGTTACTGGGCACTTTGGCATGAAATTCCCAGAAATGCTTTTTACAGATTATTTGGAAGATAGCATATGTCAAAGTTGTTTTCCATAATTCGGAATCTTAATAGATATTCTACAGCAACCAAAATCACCAATCAGAGATTATACAATTTTCTACTAAATAACAGCTCATACAGTCAAAAGTCGTTAATCCGGACACCCATAATCCGGAATGATCTATAATTCGGACCTCAAAGCTACAAACTTTCTGCGCATGTGTCAACGCACAATGCGCTCACGCATGCGCATAGGCCTTTACGCATGCGTGCGCGCATAATACGTTTACGCATGCACGTTTAATGTATAACGGACGGTATAAGCTAAGCTAAAATTATCTACTTCAGTTAATGTTGCAGATTGCGTTGTTCCTTAATCTTCGAATTGGATCCGGCTTATTATTTTTTGCAGACTGTTAGAGCAATTTTATAAAAGTAAGCTTGAACTTTCGATTAGGTCAAATAGAATTTCCGATGCTGGAGCTGCCAAAGAATCTACAAAAGCATGTTTCGACGTCCATCAAACAAAAAGTGGAATTGCTGCAAAAAAAATGGATAAAGGCATATCCTTTGTTTCTTTAACCATTCCGAAATCTGTTTATCAATTTCACGCTGCTCTGCGTGTGCGGGGGGGGGGACGTCGCAGCGCGCAATAAACTGGAAGTCGATCTGTCAGCACTATCCTTATCTTCAGGGCAGATGTTTTTATTTTATTTGGCTTATAATTCCTTACTAAATGTAGTATTTCATCTCGATGTACTCCGTCTTTGATATGATTTAAATCAAATTCCTCGTCATTATAATTCGCTACCGATACTGAAGAAAGTGACACAGAGGTTATTGAAAACGAAAAAATTTCGATTGGCAAATTAGTCGGTACTCTCGACACAGCAATTATAGGGCCTTGAACAGCGGAACTTTGTAATTGAACAAGAAATTATGTCTGTTTATAGAATTCAAGAGAAAGTATCACATAAAACGAAGCAACTTACATTGAAAGAAATGTTTAATAAAGTAAACAAATAAATAAATATCAAGCTTTTTTTTTTTTTTTTTTTGTAAATTTTGATACCCTTTAGATCATAATTGTTCTTTATTTCATAAATTACGGTTTCATATTTTTAATTTTATAATTTCTGCATGCCATCTTACCAGATTTAAACTGATGATCTATAATCCGGAATCGCCGAAGTCCCGACGAGTCCGGATTAAAGACTTTTGACTGTAACATGTATTTGCAAATATGAATGTTAAGATACAATGATTAGCTTTCCCACATTTCGTAACTTTAGGAAAAAGTTACAAAAACACAGTAAAATGAGATAACTTTCTGAGTACTTCTGATTGTTTTTTACATAACAAGTTGTGATGCAAGATAACACTTAAGAAATAAATACATATAAAAATAAAACAATAAATACATATATCTAAAAAATTTCAATTTCTATGTAAAATGAAATGGTTATAATGATTAGCGCATAGAGTACAGGAATTCAATTTACTAATTACCACTTAACATATATAAGAAATGAAAACATTTCTATTTTAAGAATTTATCTATAGAAAGGTGGTTTGAAATTTTAAAAAGATTTTCCTAGCAGATTTCGCAAACAAATGCACCAAACAGATACTTCAGTCTTAGCAAAATCCTTCAGGGGATATTTATATGTTCAGCTAACTCATTATTATACACTAAGTGGTTGAATTATTATAGTCGCCATGCAGTTTTATACAAAACAGTTATTCAGTAGAAACTATATATATATATATATTTAATAAAATGAAATAACAATGGTTAAAGAAAAGCAATCTGACAGTCTTTGAATGCGAAATGATACTGACAACTTGCAATGCTACTGCAAGCATTATCACAAACTTGAATTAGTATTAACATAAAGGTTGAATTTATGCATCAAACTAAAGAAAAGATTTAGGGACTTCAGTTAGATTCTTTATTTAGAAACTGATAAAAATCTAAAATATGTTTACATTGTATTCAATTTAATACACTAATTGTTTTTACACGCAATTACATTATGTTAACTGGTTTTAGAAGGGTCCTAAAAATATAATGCTTATTACACTTCTCCAACATTGTTAAAATCTTGCCAGATTTCACCAGGGAACTGTTTGAAAATGGTAATTATGATTATACAGAGTGGGCCATCAGAAAAATTATTCTGAATTTAAATGCAGATGCTTACACAGAAAAAGTGATAATGAAACTTGTACTTAATTGGCAACAATGCATCAGAACAGGCGATCTGAATCAGAGACTACTATACATATCTCTGGACAATAATTGCATTACGAAACATATAGATATCTCTGGACAATAATTGCATTACAAAACACTGTAGATACAGAATAATTTTTCATACATCAGAGCTTTACACCAAGATAAAATGTTTCCATTAGCTCAGGAAACCAGAATTCGCAAATTAATGGAAATAAATCATACAGTTTGTGTTTTCAATTTTAGTCATCATATCAGTAAGATGGCGGCATAGAAAAACAGGATAAAAAATATAGGTGCTTATATTATCTTGATGCAAGATAGCAGAAGCAATATCCCCATAGAAATATATATATATATATATATATATATATACACTAAAGGTAAGACACTAACCAATGTTGTAGGGCTCACAGTGCATATAACTAGACTAAGTAACATCCCATAGACTTTTCTCTGCTGTGGTAGCTACCTCAGTCTCAATGAGCAACTGTAGAAAGATGAGGTCAAAAGAAGGGTCAAAGAATGGATTTCGCTATCATCAAACATTCAGGAATTGAAAAACCTGGGTTCTTTTAATCCAGCAAATCACACTGGTAGAGAAATACAATTGCATGCATCATAAATGTTATAATGGAAGAAATATATTA